TCTAATCCAAACGAAATATAATTTAGTAATTATGGTCGTTCATAATGGCCATCTTATCGCGAGATAAGACGGAAACTAAGACCTAAGTGACTTTGCTTAAGGGACGCATTAATAATCCAGTGACGTTTCTCAGCGATACAACAATAATTACTTTATGCCGCACGATAACACATCTACACTGTTATGTTATCGCACACACACATTTAAAACAATTATTATTATACTCGCCCCCTAGCCAGATCAATATTGACTCACCTGTGACGCGCTTAGACATGTTAACGCTAATTATTGTCTGTGTCATGACTTCCGACCTCACAAGGCTATGTGCTGGACCTATAATCACTATAATGTCATTGTCGCATGATAAATCGAAAATACTCAACTCCAATCGTTAAAGTATACATTTTCGCCGTTCACCGACAATATAATAAAACATGTACAGAGCTATTTATGAAGACTTATCGCATAGAAAGACACACTAATAAAGTATTTATTTTTTAAAGAGTAGAGTTTTATGAAATATGTTGTTTGAAAATCTCAACTTCCCTAGTAGATATTTCAATTAGTCAAACCTCGCGAGACACCCTATAAATTGGCTGAAATAATCACATAAAATTGACTTCGTTTGCACTAAATGGAAAATGATTCAGTCCACTGTGAGCGATTCAATATATTACAAATTACAATGTTATTAATCCCGGAATAGCCATAATCGTAGCGTGATTAACCTGTTTTAATACACCGAATACTAATTATCGTTCTCTCGTTTTCAAGTATATTTCGCTCACACGAGGAGTGTGTACGCTGCGGTTTATATTATAAATGGTTTCTACCATTAAAATGCATTTAAAATCTAAATTAACCGACAGATTCGCTAGGGAAATATGTGACGTTACATAATAATTATTTTGTTTGATCCTCATAAAATTATTATATTATAACTCAAAGCTATCGATTTTGGTTTAAACAATTAGGAAATTATGCGATAAGGTTCCTCCCCGCAGAAATAATAGTCATCGATACAATAATTTCGATTATGTACCAATTTGGAAATGTTTAATTTGTAAATTTTAGAACCTTAATAAGACAAAACGTCGATCAGACAGAGAGAGAGAATTTGACCCCACAATTCCTTTCAGCGAGCACAACTCGTACTTTAAGTGGCTATCATCATAGTTCTAATGGACATAATATTATTATATTTTTAGAGGTGATCTTGAACCCGCGTGTCATTCGCCTTGAATAGAATCACATGACGAATAGATACCATAAACACAAATTAACGCTCGTTATTATACTTAGACACGCATTAAACTAACTATGTACACTCTCCAGAGTACTTCATTTTGAATTTTTTTTATAGTAGCCGATTATTTTTTTTATAGCTATGTGTTATAAATCTAAGTAGTGCGAATATCGTGACCACGCTGCTTAAATATTTAATTTGCAAACGAGTTTTGAGTAAAGTATCGTTACATCAAAATTATAATATCATAAAATTATCGTCAAAATATGTTTTATCATATTTCTAGGGTGTTGTCTTAGATGTCTATACTTAACAGCTATTTAACTCAGCAGAGGCGGCCAAAAAAAATTACTTTAATAGGTGGAAAAAAATTCGGTTAACATAGCAAAAAATAGAGTTGAATTTTAAATTAAACTCTACAAATTATTATCTTTATTATTTGTAATACCTATGTTGATAAGATAAAATGCATTTTTCCTATCTCTTATCAATCATTATCACCAGTGTTGTTGAAAAACGAAGTAGGCCTTAACGATGTTAATGACTTACTAGTATTTGTCATAGACAATATTTTAGATAATATAATAAAGATAAATTTAAAGAATATATAATAAGAAAAAAAGTTATTACACGACGAGCCCCATTTCTATTAAATTTTTATTTCACTTTTACAATGATAACTACAGAAAATATTTTTTTCATTGACTCGCCTATACCTCCCTTTTAACCAAATGAAAACAAAAATATTAAATACATATTTTTCAAGGCGTCCGGTGTATGCAAAATAGGTACATGAGTGTACTCTTATAAAGTTTCCATTGACTTAAGTACAATAATTTCAACACTATGAATAATAAAAAACCCACGGCAGCTTAAAAAAAGTTTTGGAAATATTGTGATGTACGCGTTTCCATGAATTTTTGAAATTCCCCAACTCATTTGATTAGGAATATAATTTTCAGGTTAAAAAATCGACACGGGTAGTAAACCGTTTATATTTAAGAATTTGGATTTCGGTATTATAGTTTGATTTCAGAATATTCAAAATACGGATTAGGTACACCCAACACTGCCATTACAGAATATTTCGGAACACTGATGATTTATTAATTGACACCGCGGTCGTTAGGACCAAGATACCAAAACTAACCCGGAGAAGATATTATAGCATTTGATTTTAATTTCATTAATTGACTTTTATTAGACCAAGTATATTAGCACTGTTTTTTTTTGTTTTAAATTAATACATCAAAACTATGATTAACATTTAGCTACGCAATAATAAATAATAATACACTAACGCATTCAACTCTATTTTTTTAAACAAAATAGAACGTTCAATAATCAATAGACATATTTTAGTGGCCATTGATTGATCTATTAAATTTATAATTATGTTTTTTTGTGCAACCCGGCACTAGTGTAGGTATAGTTTTTGCTATAGACAGATAGACTAATAAAAAAGTTATTATCGTCGATGTCAATTATATAATATGCTGCGTTTGACGACAATACCTTCATAATATATAACTTGGTACTATATTATACCTACTCAATATGGGAGACCATCGATTTGTAGACGAGTAAACGAGCTAATAATGTAAGTATACTGGTTGTGATACAACGTCTGTCAAGATAAAAAATAAAAATACAATAACGATGACAATTACCGCCCAGACGATAATGGGCGTGACTATACAACATACTCCGGAATAACATGGGTGTCTTGATCGGTACTGGAGCTGACAGTAACACGGTGTACAATAATAACGTTAAAGCTAAGCAACTCAAGCGCCTAATACTTACAAATTACAGCTTACAAGTGACGACGAGTAACTTAAAAGTTACTTGTGTTGTTTATGACGTGAACACTTGCCAGACAACAGGGCTGTAATTTAGTCGATGAATGGTTGAAACGGTTGAACAGTTGTAGACGAACAATATGCATACTATTATAATATAATGCAATTATTGATATTCTACGAACCGCATAACATGTCACCTTAGTAAATGAGCTACAATTCTGCGCAAACGCGACCAAAGGTAACCGTATATTTTTTTTTTATTGGTCAGAAATATACTTTATACACAAACCGACAACCACTAAAATTCTGTATTTTTTTAATGCCATTGAACGGTCAAAAGAGACAATAATATATTTGAGCAGCAACATTTAATAAACGTTTTACATTTTCATTGAAACAATATTTTCTGAATAAAAACATAAAAAAAAACGCTAATACTTTAGTTGAAAATATTTCCATAATATTTTCCAAGACATAAAATAAGAAATTTGAATTGTTGGTCTGTATAATATCAAGCGAATAAATCCAAACTAAAAAGCCAAACGATTAAATTTTTTTTAAACACTGCACCGTTGTTGGTAAGAATGAACAGTACAGTGACTATTTATCTTGGATACACAAGTTGTGTGAGTGTGCCGTGGTGTCGTTTTTTTTTTATATTAAAGCGGTTAGATGAAAATACCGCAGATATGTGTGATTTTTGCAACCCAGTGGCTTTTTCCACGGCCATATTTTTACAAACGCTTTTGCACTTTTTCGATGAAACGAGCGACCAAAGGACAGCACTGCGACCGGCTCGAGCGACTCCGCCATTTCGGTTATCCCGTTGTTATTGTTTTCTCTCCGACACAAAGTTTTCAGGCTCGAAACTTAGCGAAAAGTAGTATACTTACTTACAAAATATATCTTATGTGTTGCGGTTGACGTCGAGTTATCTCGAGTGCGGAACGTGTGCGTCGTTTACTTGTGATGTTGTCGAGACACGCACGTTTATCCCGGAAGAGCCGTGCAGGAGAGAGGGGAGGGAGTAAGAGAAAGATGGGCATATTACACGGTAAATAGACTACACGCGTACGTGGGCTCCGGTAAAAAAGTTTCCCACTTCCATGATTAAAAGACATTAAATACTGTTGTAGTGTGTTTGTTTGACGTCGAACCGAATCAATAGTACGCGGTAGAGAGCACGAATATGCGTGTCAGACGAGGCTGACTGTTATCTCTTTTTGTATTGTTTTATATTATTGAAGTTCGAATCCGTTTTGAGCCGCCAGAATCCAAGGCGCAGCGTAAGAGGTGGATCTAGGGAAGTTTTAGATCCCATTAAAATTCTCCAAGTTGCCACGGAATCCTAGTAAAAGCCCCCATACTTATAAGAGAAGCGTCAGTTTTGTTGCTGATACAATTTCAATTGAGTGTATCAATATTGTTTCACTTGTGCGTTTTTTTTTAATGCGGATAACAATAGATTCAGATAGTTTTCTGTAGTGATTTTATGGTAGTAGTACTTATTGACTGTCAAAAGCAAAAACAAATCAATCTATTGGTACGAGTAATTTATTTATAAAAACACAAATCATTCCTTTCGAAATAAAATGTATTATTTGTAAAAAATATATTAAACGTTTTTGTCGTCGAAACACAGTACAAAAATTTTTTAAATTAAATTGCATGACTTTTTCTTTTGTTCTATACAGTTTACATAAGCCTTGTGTTCGTTTAAATCACTGTACAGCCTTTATTGTGATCAAGTGCCATAAATCATCTTAATCGTCTTATTAATGCATCATAAGAGAAACACTGAATATATTAATATTGTTTTTAAATGTTCCCCGATTGCTTTCAAAGGATTCATTAGGTAGTGTTATCTTATCGATTCTCATTTTAATGTTTAATATATATTTTTATTTTTTACCATATTTTTTTTTTTTACAAATCAATACAACATTTGTACTGTACAAAATAAAAATTACAATTAAAATAATAATAAATTATTAAGAGGAACTTGTTAGTCTGATTGAATAAAAATAATACTGAAAAATAATACAACATGTTGAAATGGAAAATGCGAACAACACATACACTGTTCGATTAAACATACGGCCTAAGTACATACAAAAATACAACCTATTTAATTACACGAGTAATTCCCTTAATGAAAATCGTAATCTATTCTTAATAGCAGAATACAAATTAATACAGCCATTTACAATAATTTAAGTATTATAACGCATCGTTCATCATGGAAGCATGTAGGTGCAATAATAATTGTTTAACGTAAAAACTTGGGAATTAAAAAAAAAAAAAATTATAATAAAAGAAAACATGTACACCTTCACGTGCTTTGACAACTAAAAAATAATAATAAAAAAAAAAATTACAAATTTAAAACAGACTTTAGAAGAAATCAAAAGAAAATAGTCCAGTTGTGTATCCAAAATTGAAAATACAGCACATTACGATGCAGTCCTGAAACATAAATAATAAATAAAAAAAAATTAATTTTAAACGGTATCTAACTATGTTTTACTTTTTCCGTTTTTAATTAGTTTTTGTGTACACAAAACTTTGTTTTCCAAACAAACTTGCTCGCCGCACTTTGTCATATAATAAATATAGTTAATGCGAAAGCTACGAAATTCTCTTTTAAGCACGTTTATAATTTTTCTTAGAAATAATAATGAACGTACGAATGAATTGGATTGGCGCAAAGGAGCAAACAATGGTAATCAGTTTGTAATGAATGTAATAATTCAAATAAAAACACCTATTTAGTATCGCAAATACATATATCATTTTTGTTTAACTCTTCCTCATTCTCAGTATTAAATATTAGCAAGTAAATAAAAATTCGATAAAAATATTGTTATATTTTTTATAGGTAAGTAGTGTTTAAAAAAGGCGACACAAAAAAGCGTTTTCCGCCCACATTTGCAGTACCTATAGCAATGTAATAATGTAAGTGTTCTATTTACTATTTTGTTACAGCTCACACGGAAATTTACGTTTATTTTTTTAAGGTTTTGTGAAAAATGTATTTGATTTTTTCGAAATATTCATGTATTTATATATTTAAGGTCATTAAATTTGTAAAATGTAGTGATTGTTACTGAGAAATGTTATGTTTTTATTAAACACAGTGCTACTGTTTGATTTGTTTAATTAATGTACCGATAACGACGCTGTGTATTTTTTTTTTTTTTTTTTTTTACGTACTTGAGGGTTTTATAGTGCTCTTTTTCCACGCTGTTGTCCGGCGGTTCGCGTTCAAATGATAACATTGTGAGTGCTGTAAGTAAAAAAAAATAAAAAATAAAATAAAATACAATTTAAGCACGCGTTAAATAAACACATGCCCGCACGGGTCGACGTAGAAAAATCGAGTACTAAAAATACACTGACAAGTGGATGTTAAAAAAAAAGTAAAAAACCAAACTTTAACCTTTTTCGTTGAGCACCGGCGTGGTTAACAGGAACAACACGAGTTTGGAATTCTTCTCATACGGGCACGCAACCTGTTTCCACGTAATGAATTCGGTCACCTGTTTGGCCAGCTGCCAGAACTTTTCGAAATTGATGTGACCGCTGTCGAGCCTAAATCAATAGGGTAATGCAAAAAAACAAAAAATTACTGTAAAAAGATTTCACAAGCTAACACGTGGCGCCTCAGCGTTACAAATTGTCGGCAGTTTAAAAAGCCATAACGTCTGAAACGCTTTGCGATACTACTGCCAATTGTTAATTCTGTTTGAATAAATAATAATATTATGTTGACCGTTCTATCTTATGTTACCTGTTTCGACAGCCTTCGTTGAGGAAGTATATGTCTTTGACGAGCAACGAGAAAAACGGTATGACGACCCTTTGCCGTTGGTCTGTGGCGCCGGCGCTCCTCCACAAAGCCGCCTTCAGCGTGGACCTGTAACTGCTGAAATTCGACGACGGGTCCATGTACTGTTCCAGGATGGTGAACTTAGCGGACTGCTGGACCTTGTGCCACTAAACGAGCAAACGCACGACGCAAGTTAATGTTGTTGATGTTTTCTCAAAATAATCATAAATTCCCTTGCGGGGTCGTGTGTGTTGTACTTACCGTTTTCTTCAGGCGACTCACTGGCGACATGTTAAGTCCGGCGATTATGGCCATCAACGAGTTAAAGTTGCCAATGTTGAAACACTCCCTGGCCGTTTCGATCCAAAACTCTATCGCTTTGACCCGCTGTTTCTTTTTCGAATGCTAAAATACATACAATATTACAATTAATGGTATGGCTTAGTATAGATAGTATTATTATTATTATTGTCCACAGTCGACTTGCCTTGCACACTTCGGACGCCACCAGGTAGCTGAGCCTGTTGAACCAGTGCACGTACGATTCGAGATTCTTGGTTTTCTTCATGTCTTTGAAAGAAGAATCTATGTGCGGACTGTCTTTGGCGAACGCCTGCACGAACTCTTCCGGACCGATGAAAGACAATCTCTCCAATTCGATCAGAGTGAGCTGTTGACCTAGGATGGCCGCGCTGGAGCACACGTCCATAGCATCCGTCTGCAAGCGAAAATATAACAAATAATATTAGATTGGAAATTAATTTCACTGAATTGACAGGGCCTAGCATCAGTTGTTAACTATATCCCTTCCACAAGCTACAAGCTTAGGAACTGAGTAACAGTTTTTCAAATCAATTTTACATGACGTTTGTTTTTCTGTAATGTTGGTAATAAGTTCTAAAATAAAAAAAACACACAAATACACCAAAGCACACTCTCTCCTCGTGTGACAATCTGGAAAAAATTCTGATCATCTGGATTTGAACATCGAGTCGACTGAAATCCGGATTAGAGTATACGTTTAAAAACAAATCAGTGTAACATTTGCATTGTAGGCTGCTATTTTTTTAATTGACAACTTTTATTTTAATAACTTTGATCCTATTTCGATCATCTGGATCATATTATTTTGTAATCCGGATTCAAACATTTGGATAATATTACTCGAATATTCAAAATATTTCTTATTATATATATATATATAAACAGATACTAAGCATATTCAATTGAAGATTACAATCTTTCACGAAATGCTTAGTATCGATTTATGGTAGGTAACTAAAATAGGTGATATAATTCTTGGTCTGACTTGAGCGACATTCTAAAGTTCTCCTAGAGCTAATTTTATCTAATAACATGTCGTCTGTAGTTTATTTAATAATTGTAAGTAACTGGTAGTAATTAGAAGCATTGATGTTGGCAATAATTGGTAGCGATTTCTTTTCTCTTATAAAAATGTTAGTTCTTCCAACTTAGGTGCTAATCCATCTGAATAATTATGTTCGCTTCCTTGAGTGTTAATACACAAATTGTTCATGGGTATAATATGTCACCAGCGAAATCGTAAACTACATATTTTACAGAAAGACTACCACACAAATATTTAATCCCACGACTAAATGTTCAAGTGGAATTTAGTGTTTAGCGTCCGTGCCGGATATATGTGGAGGGGGGGGGGGTGGACAGCTTAATACATATTTAATCGGAGATTGTACATATTTTATGTGAAGAAAATCGGCACGTGGTCGCTGCGGAATTATTAAAACCCGAAGAGCGTCTCGTTAATTTGATCACAGCCAGCTCTAAAGGTGTTTTATCGCCGTGGAAATAGGAGTGATCGGTTGTCATTTTCGGCGCACCGTGTAAAAAGCTTCTCATTTGTACACTTCCATCGTCGTCAAGACACGTTGTTACGGGTACGGCGGTGAATAGAAGGAAAAACCGTCAAAAATCAATCGAGGCGACGCGTTGAATCCACCAAGAGGCGTTCGCGGGTCTTTGGGCGACATCATACATCACCGTCGAACCTCGAGCAAGAGAGTATCGGTGACAAACAAGAATGAGAAGAAAAAAAATGAATTGCGAATAATGCCCATTCGGTAGAGCACCCGCTATTCATAACGCGGACGTTTTTCTTTTCTTGTGTATTTTTTTTTTTTATTTATTTATTCTTTGCTCGTTTAACGGAAGCGCCGTGATGGTGGCAATATAAATAACATCGCTTACATCGCTCATTCGGTCAGATTTATTCGCTACAAGCGGTTTTTCCAAAAGAAACACGACAGCCCGAAAAGACGCTCGAACAGTGTATGAATATCCATTTTTCCCAAAAGAATGGCGGAACTCCATAACCCAAATGTTAACACTTAATGTACTACTAGTCTGACGCACATAATGTTTTTTTTTTATTTTATAAAACATAGTTTGATTAGTATCACCCGACGAAGAAAAGCAGTATCCAAATGTCTCGTCAATTATAAATTAGCAAATTATAAATGGGATTTCTAACGAAAGGGATGAAATTAGAGTATCACAGGTTTGAAAAGAACAGACGGTGGAGACTTCTCTGTAGGTGAAACTAAATAAAACGGATAGTACCTAACGATAAGGTTTTACAATTTTAATCAGATCAAAAGTTTGCAGTGATGCGCTTTCATTGAGCGTCGAGTAAACATTTTGCTTTTGGCTTTTTGTGTATCTCAACAATTATTTATAAAGGTATCAACAAGTACTATACGTTGTATGAAACGAAGTATAATATTTTAGTAAAACTCAAAGTAAAGTAATCAACAAAAAATGGTCACTAATTTAATATATTTCAATTTGTTAGCCTTTGCTTTTCGATGTTGAAACTGTATATTATGATTTATTATAGAATAAACATATTTAATAATGATTGAATATTCTATTCTATGTAAACACAGCAACATGTATTCACTTTGGAATTCATTGATAACTCAAGTCTCAAAGGTAATCTCCTCGATTTGAAGAGGAGATCAATATTTATTTAAAATGCAAATTCATCAATGTTTGATTTTCAACTTGGCGATAACGCAAACGTTAGCATTTCATTCTTGTAAACAAACCGAATTCGGCGTGTAAATATTCTTAACGAGAACAGCATTTAAATAATAATTAATAGTACACATAATAAATATACCTCGAGAGACCAATATAATTACGCATAATAATATTATATTAATATACTAAGTATAATTTGTAATTTAAGTGATAACAGGAAGACGTTGGATTTATATTCTATTGTAGTTCGGTCCGTTCAGTACATTAGAAATATCAGATAAACTTTACACACACGTTTTGCGACTTACACCGCCGCAATGCCAGAAATCAAACCTCGGTAAAACTCACATTAATCAACTGTAGCACATCAAAGTTCTACTACAACAAAGAAAAGTTTATCTAATATATCTATTCGTCTTCTATCAAATCGTGTATCGCTTTTCATCATTAACTTACCCGGAAAACTCTTGGTAGTATCTAACATTGCGATATGTTATTGTTTTTATTTCAATATATATATAAAAAAAATGCATTTCAGTCGAAACCGACCAGACATAAAGTATAATAATATCATCATTACGGATCGGTTCACCGACGGTTTCTCTTCTAATGTATTATACGTACTGTACACAATAGAGATGTCTGCAAAATTCGATCATTTCGATGCAACATTTTATACTAAATGGCGTAGTAATACAATACACTACTACAACATTTCATAATAATATCATACCGGCAACGAGGTCACCGCCGTTCAGTGACTTGCTGATTAGAAAGACTTAAAACGTAGACCGTTAACTGAATAAAAAACAATATATCAATGTTGTTTAGTGGCCGCCAGATGGTCCGCGACGAACACGATATTATAACGACTACTGCGGCAATATGATATAATAATTTCTCCGAAGTAATGCATACATTTTCTAAACAAAAGCCATTCAGAAAGTACACATGGCCTTTTAAGCACTTGGGTATATATATTAAAAAAAAAATCCCCATTGTTACCCAACCAGGTTTCCACGGTAAAAACAAAAAATAAAAAACCGAGAAAACTTATTAACTTTTACACTGTACATCGCCAGAGGGGCGGGCGACCACTTTATTGCCTTTGCTGTCACTTTTACCGCAGCTGAAAAATGACTAAATATAGAAATTGTTCAAGTCCTCTTTGAGATTGTTAAATAGTTTTTTCCCCTATCCTTGTACTTTGGTCAAGGTTTCTGCAGCACGAGACTGTAAAAGTGCTGAAATACTGTACTTTAACTCATAATAATTATTTGTTTGTATACATAGTTTACCACTTAACGTTCTGCAGTTGATCACCTAAACGCAAAAAATACCTAAAAAAAAAACTATTGTAAAAATAATTAGAATATACATAACTCTGAAGTATCTAGATCTGCGACCAAAAATGTTCTAAATACTGTATAAAACTAATGATCTAGGTAATTATATATTAAATGCAAAAACAAACATTAAACATTTTTTTGATTAAAAAATGACACCTGTATCATTCTTTATGCCACGACATATTAAGACATTTTTGTTATGTTTTAAAAGATTGAAAACTTATTAGTATAATGATATAAAAAAAAACCCAAAGAATAAAAAAATGTAAAATAACATTCCCCTTAAACAGATTTTTATAAACCGATTCCTGGTAAATGCAGCAACTTTATACTTATCACTTAAATGGTATTAATTTATTTTATGAAACTTCGAGTCCATTTGAGTTCATTACTAACAATATGATTGTCACTAACATTACTCCGAATTCAAAGGATATATATAATATACTGGTCCATATTAAATAATTAACTATCTTTTATCATGTCACGCTGAACAGTATTAATCAATACCTGTCACGATGAAGGATCGGTAAACCGCATAAATGTAAATATATAGGCATCATTAATATCGTCCAAGTTGCAACAAACCCACCTTTTTAAGAGTTACTAATCATTTCACTTTGTTATAAATTAGGTTTTATAATAATAGAAAAAAATCAAATATATTTTAGAACCTTGTTAATTGTTAATCGTCCACCCCCTAAATAAGTTTGTCTTTATAGGAATATCTAAAACAAACTATAGAAAAATAATTAAAATTATAGTTTTAAACCATTTGCCCTATATTTAAAAAATATATTTTTTGTTGATTGGGTATAATATATAATTGAAATTAAACAACAATAAGAATCGAAGAAAATAATATAAACTCGTATTGTAACTATAATTTTTAAGTCAATAACAAAAACCAAAAAGTATGATCAGCTAATATTTTCTCACTCTCTCTCTCTTTTTTTTTATTGTTAGTACAAAATATAAAAAAATTATTTTTTGTCTATATTAGCTATTTTTATTCCACAAATTTGCCGTGTTTTTCAAAAGAAAACACAGTAAAAAGTTCAAATATGGAAATAACTTAAGCCTACTCGAATTAGTACAGAAAATGTACAGATTGATTGTTTCCTCTTTTTTAATACTTATCCGCATACATCAGTTTCTGTTGATATGATATTTTTCATTTTTAACGTGAAAATGTCCATATATTTATTTTGGTTACTCTTGGGAGTACCTTTTTGAAATAGTAATTGTTTAAGTAAATATTAATTATGTCTTAAATTTTAATTTTGGACCGAAATTAGTTTTTACTTTATCCATTAACCACGAAAGGCACTTGAGTTTGACTAACATTTACATTTTGTAAACAAATATAAAATTACACTCAACCGCAGTACAACATTTCTTTATCTAATAATTAGTTGTCTACGTTTTAACCATTATATGGTAATGTCGACTGTTCGAAAGCAAGGATACTAATTTGACTAACATTAAGATAAGTGTAATGTTTTTGAACTAATGAAAATGATACTCAGATAAGAATCCAAATTGTCCACAGCATGCTGTTGTTTGCAGCCATACAATATATATAACTCTACCAGTAGGAATTAACTATTTTTCATTTCGTTTTACAATATATTATACTGTACAAGGAGTTTTGAACCGAATTGTCGAAATAAATCAACATAGACAGTCGAATAAGTTCATATAAAGGACCTACTGATCGTTACTGTTCGTTATGAGAAACCAAAGATACATTTGAAAAGGATATGTACAGTACACAAATTATATATCTTTAAACTTCTTATCATTATAGCATGATGGTCAAATCAGACGCGATACAGATCTTCTTACTGATAAATACTTTTTGACTTGGATCCAATAACGTATAAATGTGTCGAAGCTTTCATGGATTAAAATGTTACTATCTTTATAGTTCTTATAATTTTTACAATGTTCGGTCGTATCCGTGACATTGTCCAATAACATGTCTAAATAATCGCAGGTACGTCAGCAGTGCGTGATACGCCCTGAGTTATTTATCCCTATTGTTTATCCTAGAAGCTCAAGTATAGTATTCAGAAGAAACGGTATTTGATAACAATAATATAATATATACCATTTAATTAAATATTATATGGTTATTTTATGGTAAACAATTCGAAATCTCAACTTTTTCCTACGCCCCCGTCATATTATAATTACTAATAGAACTTAGAAGGTTTAAACGCCTTACAGTAACCGATCAAGTAAATTTGAAACTCAAGTGTTCCTTAAAAGCATCTAATCTAGGTTTCTTGAATTTTGGTTACTCCCCGGTAGAACTAATCTATTTGAACCTAAAGTTTAAACTTTGCACCCTCTACAACCAGGCGACCTTAACACATATGAAATCTATTGTGTAACATTGACAGTAAACTGCAGTTGACCACAATTCCTAATTAGCTTACATAGTTTATAGTTTATCAACGAACACTCCGCTCACGAGTCAAAAACATATGATTCTTAAAACGGTAAAAATTAAGAAATTTCGTGGCGAGAAACATGAAAAAAATCATTAATTTGTCTTTCAAAAGGTTAAAACAAATATTCCATTAAAATTACAGTGAAAACTCATATCTTCTCATCCCGAGACATTCTATATTAATAATAACGATAATTTTATTTTATCAGTAAGCCAACACGACGATCGTCACGTCGTGATTTTCACATGTATTGATCTGATGTCTGTTGCATAATTATAATTCTGTTGAAAAGCTTTTTTTTTTAAATTCGATTTGTGAGTTCAGAGAGTTAAAACGGTTCGGCAGCCGCCAAACGCGTTGCATAAAGCTGCTGGATTATTGCGCATAGCCCGCGTTATAGTTATTAGTTTTTTGCTGCTATAGTCAACGAATTTAATTAATACTAATCAATACGGAAAATTAATTATCGACGCCGTTTTTAATTTTCTACATAAATTACAGTATTATGTTTGCACGGAACAAGTATGGTTCGACAACAAAATAATCGTCCCACTGAATCGCTCAAAACTTATAAACAGCAATGCTTCGGTGCGAAGCTGAGAAAAAGAGGTATTGATTTTTATAATGATGTGTTTTTTTTGTATCTGTAAGTTTTCACATTATTTTACTAAGCAAATTGGTTGACCAACTTTAATTTTTTCACCGATCGGGTTTTTCGAGTAAATCGACAAACTCATCATATAATGAGTATAGAGCTTATTGAAAAAAGGTAAATATAAAAATAACCAAACCTAGGTTATAATATAAAAAATCATATATACAGCCTATATTGGAATTCGTCAAGAAACCATCTCATAATGGCAACGTTGGGCTTTCGTGCCCGTTAAGCTACGTGATGATGATATCGGATTGCGACGGTCAACAGTTTTTGTAGTCCCGACAGGCACAGATTCAATCGCTGTGATAAAACTCTATACACAAGAACGCCCTTTACGGTCGCTTATTCTACACAATGTTGCTCCCACTTTATATGTTTAATAATTTTCCGGTCGTTTAAGCACACACACACATACACAATACAGTATTACAATAATCTCCTATGTGGCTGTTCAATGTTTGTACTTGCGATGATCACAGGGATAATCATTTTTTTGCACTCTATATTACATATTTACTTGCATAGTAAACCGTACAAAAAAGTCATGCGACAGCTGTCCCCCTGCACCCAAGCTACTCCACTAGCTACGAGAGATACATACAATATCTGTAAGTACCGGGAAAACGATAGGAACAAGGACGTTCGGTTAAAAATGTTTCTAATATTGTGACCAGTCTTGAATCATAAAACAAATTACTCTTAAGTAAACGTAGTCTTGTCTGAAAACAAATTAATTAATATTCAGGAGATCTCACCGAACCCAAAAAGCTGTCGCACACTAGTGAACCGTTACGTTGATAGCATGCACAAGCACTTTTTTCGTCTAACGTTTTTAGAACCGAATACAAATTTGCAGGATAATATTATAATTGATAGCTCACTCGCCGGTGCCCAAATTCACAAAAATTCGCATCATATAGGCAATTTTTTTATTTCTAGGTATGATTTTCAACATTATCAGCTAAAACAATAACAATCGATTTCGATCCCAGTTTTTTTTTCTATTTGTTTTATACTGCGTTTGATTTACTGTGCTAATTGTTTACGGTTTGTGTTAAATCTTTCAGTTTGAAAACATATTTTTACAATCACGACAATATTCTTAGTCGGGTATCAGTTATTACAGTGTTGTATTTTCAGTTTTTTTTTGTTTTTATCTGAAATGTATTAGAATTATTTTTCAAACGGCTGTCACGAGGTACGCTTTGATGTGGTACTTGACACACGGTGTCATTTTACGGTGTGTAACTTTAACCATACCTACACAATGTGTAGTTCACTCGACAAGCGATTTTCCATAAATTCGTTTTTTTTGTCCAGTACTCTCTTTGTAGTTGCTATACAGTCTATTCTATGTACTGTGCAAGCTCAACGATCCGGGCAGCAATAATTTAGTACAGTAATAATAGTGATAATACATTCCTGGTGTGAGTGTATTATTTACAAAGCGAGGGCGTCGGTGCAGTGTATACATAATTACTTTATGGCTTTGCCCGACAGCATATATAAGTGTACTTAGCCGCGGATAGAAAACGTACTGGCGGTAACCCGATAACGATAAAATAAAATGTGTGTATGCGTTGAGAGTATACCGCAAAACTTCTACGATCGGCCACCAGTTAAACTACGTGTCGGCAGAAATAATGGTTGAAAAGCGTTTTTGTTTCACCTATGTATTTAATTTAAACGGCCGTTTTATAGACCTGGGCTCGTCTTTATAACACCCTCCCCCCTTACCCTCCAAAAACACCCTTTAGACCAAGCGATCATGCTGAAAAAAAATATTAATTGATAAGAGAGAAAGCTTTTGAGAGGGTGACACTAGACATATATATTATGGGCACAAGTTGTCAAAAATATACCTACATACAATATTGGCTTTATTGCTACGGTTAAATGGCTAAAAGGAGTGTCAAATATGATAAGAATTATAACTCTTCATAACTCTTTATGAAATACTCTACACACACAGTGAAAGAAATGCGATTGATAAGGAGAAGTAGGGAAAATTAGTTAATAAGTGGTACGATAGTGATAAAAACGGCGATTGATATAAAGGTACAAAGGCTTTCATTTGCTCATTTGTAGTGTAACAACTATAACGACAACAGGGAATACATAATATTTTCTTCGTCAGCTTCTACGACGATGTCAACACAGCTTTTACTCCAAAAGTCCACAACATTTTCTACCGATTGGAAACCTAAGCGGTCCGTTAAGGGTCATCGCTGCCTTTTCTGTGTTTTATCATTTTACATACTCGTGTAACGGCCACGATTTAAGATAACGGTTTATCTTAAATCGCGGTAACGGCTGACGATTTTTATTCAACCTAAACCGTAAAAACTAATACACGACGATTTATATAGTGCCGGCGAGTATAACATACACACACGCTTCAGAGAGACATTTCTCAAGACACATAACATTGTTTGGACTTACCGGCGTAAGGATGTCGGCCGACGATACGGTGGCGTCGGTACCGGTCTGCTGCAGGAACGTTTCGTACTTGTCCAACGAGGTGAGCCTGTGCAACAATGTCTGCAGCATGGCCGACACCTGATGCCGGACTGCTGGTTCTACGGACACACACTGATGAGTGATTTCCCGGACGTGCACCATAACCCGTTCGTCGCGGAAATCGTATGGGAATTTGTCCGTCCACTCGGCCAACAGTTGCACGAGCCTGGGCACGAAACGTGACAGTTGATCCTGCGAAAAGGATAACGGTTTTTTTTTTTTTTTATTAAAAATTAAACAAAAATATCGAAACGAACAAATCCGATTCAATGCACAACAGTTATATTATACTGTCATTATACATAGACAGTTTCAATATTTAATCCCAGACGACACTGAACGCGACCACGAATATAAAGCCGTAAACTCTACCAGACCCAACTATTCCCAACGGTATCTATATGTGTACAGCACATACACCACATGGGAATTTCAGCAATGCGCCTTGTTTCTCACAACTCTGGGTTTCTCTATCACCCTCTATCCAAAAGTTATTCCGAGCAGTGCAGTCATACAAAATTAATTAATTTACATAAGTAAAATTGCGTTTGTTATACTATTATTGTTTTCCAATTAAATAGTAATTAAACCATAAATGTGACTGATACAAAAAAAAAAATCCCAACACGTTATTGATTTAATAAGATAAATAATGAGTTTTCTTTCTCGTGGTTTACCATATTACAAATTGTGCGTATAAACTCTAATGTACCTTATGTTGAGGATTTTGTGCGGCCGAAACGTAATCGCCCAGCCTTTGCTGAGCCTGGCATACGGCCACGACTTTAGCTAATAGCTCATGTGGCTTAACGAAAAGGCGTGAGCTGAGAATGAATGCAAACAGGTAAGCTTGATCTGGATAGTAATCTGCAGTGGGGACCAGGTGCTGAATTAAGCTTGGCAGCGGCCCGGACAGCAAAATTCCATCTCTGTACACCAAGGTCTGAAATATAAAAATGAAAAATAATGAAATTTAACAAACAGTAAAAATGTGTACGCCTCCGAAACCTAACCTATCTGGTAATCTTGCGTTTTTTGTACGCTCTTATCATTGTTGCCAGTAAATTGCAAAAATATAAGGATGACGCTAAAAAAAATGGGATTTATAACACAAACTGTACTTTATTTTTTTTTCTTTGAAACTCTGACAAACATAACTAATAAATTATGTTAAGATAAACATGTTAATAGCATGTTATTTAAAAATAACTATTGGACATTGCCTTACCTAACAATATTTACTTGAAAGTTATTTTACATTAAAAATTATGTAAATAATTTAATTATATCATAGAATAATAATAATCCAGAGATACAATTCGATTTAGATTTATTCACGTAAAATGTTGGCTATTACCATGATAAAATGACTTTAGGTGTTTAAGTTTTTACTCTAGGGTAAGGTATTGTTATTGAAGGGTATTATTTAAATAGACCTTACAACCAGAGTTATTATTTTTAAATATAATTATTTTAAAGGTTATTTTTTATAATTACATATTTTTAACTTAGTTAAAAGTTTTTTAATCCATATTTCTCATCACTTCGCTCGGGTTAAAAAATAAATATACAAATTCTTTTTCATCGTTTATTCGAATAAAGGTTTTAAGTGAAAATTTGACCAATTATTTTGCTCACAATGAAATGAAATTCGTATTTCGCGGTATTCTTTGGTATTGTAAACGGGGTCAGTTTGTTTCGAAGCAATAGTTAAAATTATGGTTTTTCCATCACATCCACTTGATTTAACAATGAAATTATGTATGATCAAGTACTCGGCGAATGTATTGTGATCACGTGCATACGCAGAGTAGGTTATATAAATATACATGTGATTTAACACGGTGCAGACGTGATGGTAACGATGGCGGTGAATTATGGATGCGTGGACTTAGGGGAACCTACATTTTACCAGGAACGAGAAATATTTCTGTAAAACCCGTGGCATTTGTCTTTCTTATGTGAGATTTATTTTTGAGAGAGTGATAATGATCCTGACGGATACACTACGGGCGGCAAGCGGGTAACAGGGTTGATGTTGTCAAAACGGGTTAATACTACAGCACTACAGGAAAGCCAGTGTACATTAACCCTTGGGCATCAGTGCAATTTATATATATATATATATCGTGTTTTATCTTATTTAATAGTATTAGAGTAAATCCCTTAAGTTAAATTAACAAAACGTCGGCCGTCCAACGTGAACGTACTTCCTTATTTTATTTTTTAACATTAAAACACTAATTTCTAAAGACGTTTGCATACGATTCTATATTATGTTTCCCCATTCGTATAAGCAATAAGCTCCGACAGGTGACAATCGTTTCAAAATATATATTTGCGAGCGATCGAAGTTTAAAATTTACTAATAAAATAATTTCCCGAAAAACACTCGGAAATAAATAACGATTTTGCAGAAAACTCTCTTAGAAGTATTTGTAAAACATTTTCGGGGAAAAAACCGAGAAACCCCGATATTCTGAAACAATCCAACTATAAATAAACATTTCTGAAAATAAGCTGGAAAACAAAAAAGTATATTTACACAGCAAATAAACATTATTTTGTACTTTCTAGATAAAACCAATAAAATGTCATAACAAAAAAAACTCAGTTTCGGTCGAAATGTAGTTCAAATATCTGTTTTTTAAGTTTATTTTTCGAAAAAATGAATGCTTTCACAGATAAATTTTTATTTTCTTCTCCGAGAGACAAAACGTGAAAATACACGTAAACGACAAAATATACTCAAACAAAAATCATGAAAATACATATTAATCTTCTACATATTATATAATATGATATGATTTAACTATGATAAGCCTTTTGGGCTTTGAATCTGTGCAATTTAATTTGTCACACGTTTAATATCATAATAATATCAAATATCAAATTTAACGGTTTACAGCGCAGGCCATAGTATGCATACGCATACATACAAGATAACCATACTACTTTGTACAGAAGTTCACCAGAATTAGCCAAGTCGTTAAGTGATATAATCGAATTTCACACAAGTATTTAGCAACTAAAGTTTAACTTCAGAAAGCTCAATCGCGGATTACGTCGTTCTCGAGCACTTAACAGTTCGGACCGCTATATTATATAGACAATGCATCCCAGTGTCTTGGTGTTAACCGTTAACTTGTACAGTGGCATACCTACGCTATACATTCCGTTCCAGTATATTGTATACCGCGGTGTTACTTGAAAGTTTACGGCACACCAGACTTGTGTGTTGTATAGCCACTAACCACAGATGGACTCGATAATTTTCCACTTCGATCGACTGCCAACAAGCGCCAATACTAGGTATTCAACTGGCCAGCTATATTAACACCGTGCATTATACACAATAGGTTATAATATATCACACGGGCTCGTATACTCAATGGATTTCTGTAATTTTAAAATTCTCGGAAACCCGAAAATATGTCCAATTGATCACTGTCGGATATTGAAACCTGAAGGGCGACGTGCAAACACAATTTCCAAGTACCGAGTTCCGAGTAGAAACCGTTGTTGTGCATATATTGTATAAATAATATCAAAAGGATCCAGTGTATTGCAAACTTAATTGGCAGTACCGCTATCTGTCAAAAGAAATTCCCTAAAACGCATTTTACGACATTGCTGTTATATATTTTCAATAGGAAATAAACTGTAAAAAAAAAAAAACCACGGTTCTGAAAAATGGTTTTTAATTTTTTTTTTTTTTAATTTTTACATCTAGACTCACAATAACTTTTTGACAAAGTCGATTTCTCACCAAAGGTAAACTGCATAAGGCCAAAAGTTTACTCCTTATTAAAAAATCGAGAAAACACCGTAAAAATTGACCGAAGAAACACATTAATTGTTAACTATTTTACAGGTCCAATGAAAAATGTTGAATTTGTATTACAACATTTATAGCTCCTGTTAAATCTTCGTCTTTCTGGAAGTTTATAACACAGCGTTTTAGTCCATAGCCAAAACGTTTATCACTCAAACAACGTTATACTTACACAGAAATTACATATTTTCATTCGGATAGTTTTATTGAAATTATGAATCCCGGTTTATACGACTGAATAAATATTTTAATTAATTTCGACAATTTCAAACTGACTGCTTGATCGTGCAATCGTATATTTTATGGTCTATAAAATCCGTCAATGTATAAAAAAAAAAAGTACTTTGTTTGAACGCAGAAAAAACGTAGAAAATAAAAACCGGCGCAGCATGTTATTTGTACAGAAGAAATTGTCCATTTGCAGCACTATTTATTGCAACGAACAAAATAAAAAGAACGACTAGTTCTAACACATCTTAAAGTTTATGGGTAGGACTAAACTTTTTAACGTACATAAAAACATTTTTTTTTTTTTTATTATCTTACTGCAGCGTGTGGCTGTAATCCAATTTAAAATTATTGGAATAGTATACTTCGTGTAGAGATGTTTTAAATTATTTTATCCTTTGTTTTTCTTTCTTGGTAAATATTTCAAATAAGCCTAAAGCCAAGCGGTCAAAAAAGTTAACGGCCCTATATTATATGGATATTTATCATAATAAATATAAACATACATATTTATATTTTTTATATATTTTAGACATCATCGGCGAGCATGCATTAAAGACCTGAACAAAATATGGGCAGCGCAAAGGTACGTAACGTTGTTCGCCTCTCCTTTTTGGCCTCGGGCATATTACCTTTTACCCAAAAATAACTTATGGTATTACGTAATACAGGCAATACCAATGCGTTTTCCTTAAAATCAATAGTGTATGTACAAATATCTGTGTTAAACTCTTTTTGAGTGCACGAAAGTCTCTGGATTGTTCCGATTTCTGTTAAATTTAAATAGTAACGTACATATATTTTAACCTTTTTTAATTAACAATAATTTTCTGAAAACGTTGACTGGTCGATAACCAGTTTTGAATAAATAGTTGTAAAGTTATTAAATTTTAAAATTTAGGACAGGAAGAAGAGTGGAGAGTAGAGTTATTTTTATCTGCGCGCCATTTCTCAACCGCACTCCACCTCCTGTCCTAAATTTTAAACTTAAATAACTTTGAAAATCATTTTTCAAAACTGGTTATCGACCAGTAAATTTTTTTCAGCAAATTATTGTTAATTTAAAAAGTTAAAAATATATATACGTTACCATTTAAGTTTCAAAAGTTGATAAATCTCTAGAAAATACTAAAAAAGATAAAAATTTAAATATTATTTGATATAGTAATATAGTATAATCAAAATGTTTTTCAAAAATAACCACTACAAATTTTTAATTGTTTTAAAAGTAAACTAATGTAGGGCGTTAAAAGAATCACCCGGTATATATATAGATTACTATGGCCTTGATTAAATAGAAATATTGAAGGAATGTCGTTCGCCCAAAAACTAAAAAACACAAAAGTTTATTCATTGACTACACTAAATTATAATTTTGACTTGTTAGTAAAAAAAACGTCATATTATTATATTTTTTTAAGTAAATAAAAATCAGTTGGGCAGGTACGTTAATACTTATTTCCATAAACATATTTCTTTTATTTGAAAATTGTATGGATTGTTAAGTTTCATAGAAAAAGTATTTTTCTTTTTTATTAAAATATACCAATTCTAGCAAACTTTGAAGAAAAAAAATCCTTTATTTAATGTCAAGTTTAAAATTATCTGCCTTAAACTCATTTAGTTTGACGTCAAATTTTTTGACAAAAAAAAACCACGAACGACCATTGTTTATTACACAAAAATATGAATAGAAACCTGAACACAAAAAAAAAGTAATAATAATGGAGAATGTTTTTTTTTTTTATGTTACTCACAGATGAATTTGTTAATGCCACTTTTTTTTTATTTCCTGTGGGCTATGTGTGAGTGCATTGGTTATATTAATTATAAACTGTCTAGACTATACAATTATAGTAACAGTAACTATAGTTTTTCGA